ACCTAGGTTGAAAGCCAAGGTATTTATATATTTTGAGATATCTTGCAAAAAGTAGTGACGTTCCGGTCGTGGGACAGACTATAAATAAACATTATCAATGAGAAAGACTACATGTGTTTACTTTAGGTTGCATTTTTTTTTAAATTCCAAATAAAAATAAGAAAATTTACAATTATCTACTTAGAAATTCACAATATCTCATAATAAATTATGTACAAAGTTGTTTTTTTAAATAACATATTTATTTATTAAAACACAAGAATTGATAGATATGCCAGAATGATTGAACTTTTAATACGCACAGTCAAGATCTACCAGGAATGCAAGAATAGAGAAAAATTTGACGTCATTTTAACTGAGACATTATTTTATTCAATTGTGACAGCAATCAAGTGTACTGTGACGCATCTGAAACAACGCTGCGTTAAAACGTATACGCAAACAAGATTTTTTTGTTTGTTTGCATGTTGTTTAAGGTCCCTCTCAAGAATTTTTCACTCATATGGAGACGCCACCACTTGCCGGTGGAGAGCTGCAAATTTTGTCCTATACTCGACACTTACGGCCATTGAGCAGTGAGGGGTCTTTTTCGTGCCAGCACCTACTGCGACACGGGACCTCGGTTTATACGGTCTCATCCGAAGGACCTGTCTCCACGTCTCGCAGTTGGATTCGAACCCGCGACTTAAGGATCAACTCCTTACTTCGCGACTCTAGAGCAGAAGCTCTAACCACTGCGCCACGCGGGCAACCACAAAAAAGGTAGATTAAATCATTAATTTTAAAAGGACAAAATTAAGAGAACCCCAATCTTTTAACTGGCGTCATAATATCATAAATATTATGGATTCAGTGGAAGATTACGTCGATGGGTCAGACATGCAAAGGAAGACCTTGACACGTGGTCAGAATGGATTAGATGTATCTTAAAATCTCGCATTAAGCAATTTAGGGGCAAAATGAAATCAACTATTTTTCGGAACAATTTCACGTGTACAATGCATTTTACGAAATTCCTACCCTAACACCAGAATCCACGACCCAGGATCAAGGAATTTACAAATGTGGAAGAGTTACCCTCATCATCAAAACTCTGCTCTTGAAAGATTAACACATTTCCGCTATATCCTCAACCCACCCCTCCCCGTAATGCCAGAATACCTGACCCTGGGACCACAAGTTTTAAAGATTCTGTTAGAAGCTCCCTTGTTCATCATAACTGTGTTACAGAATTAATGCATTTCAGTATGCTATCAATAGAGCCTCACCCTTTCAACAGAACATCTGACCCAGAGGACATGGAACTCACATTTCTGGAAGAAGCGATCTTGTTCATCATAACTATACACTATAGTTTCTTAACTTTATAACCAGAAGCAGAAAAAATATTTTCAAAGATATTATGCTTTTTCACTGCTTTTTCATTACATAATCACTGTCCTTCGGATGAGACTGATAAACCGAAGTTCCGTCTCGCAGTAGAAGCTGACAAGAAAAAGATCCTCACTTGCTCAATAGCCCTGAGTGCCGAGTATAACTCAAAATTTGGAGCTCTCCACCGGCAAATGGGGGCGTCTCCAAAGGAGTTAAAAATTCGCGAGAGGGACGTTAAACAATACACGAATTCCACCAGAAACCCCAACTCTGGGGCCATATATTTCACAATTTTGAAAGAGGCATCCTTGTCTTACTTAATCATGCACTTAGTTTGTAAACAATTTCCAAGAGCTTTAGGGGCCACGAATTTCAAAATTTTTGTTCCCTCTCACCAATATAGCCAAAATTGGTTTAAATTGGTTTACTGGACCAGAGAAGAAGTCGAAGATGTTCAAAAGTTTAGGACCGACGGACGACGCGCGACGCAAGACGACGGACGAAAAGAGATAGCAATAGATCTTACTCAGGTGACCTAAAAAGATGATGTCGTAGAAGTCATGGAACACCAGTTAACGATACAATTTTGTGTTGTAGCTGAAAAACTTGAAAATAAAACCAAAATTCTGGAGGAGGCACGAAATTTTTCAAAAGCAATGTGCACATTGCACAGGCGGTATTTGAATGATGCAGACTCTGATGTGGAATCCAATATAGATATGGTATCAGTCGAGACGATCTGAGAGATAACGGATTATCTGTAAAATGCTGGTCAAAATCTTTCAACAACGTTAGTAAGGTCATGGCAAGTGTCATATGAAAACTTTCCGAACAACCCTCGTATTGCAAGCAAAGCAAATACAAGCCATTAACAGATATCATGGGCAAAATAAGAAAATTTTAAAATATGTACATGCACCTATGTTGTGAATTAAATGAGACTTTACTTACTGAATGTTATATACCGTAGGAACAATTCAAATTTTGAATAGCTATATTTTACGATTGTTTGTTAAAGCATTTATTTTAGGGATTGAATTCATTCTCCTTAAAACGACCAATTGAGGCGGCTTCCTTTAAATTGTTGGAAATTTTCTAAAGCCTAAATTTTAGGTACGTAAGTTGATGCTAAGCTTCGGATAGTATACGATGAATGTTTAATTAGGTAATATTGATTTGTACATTACCATTTACAAACTGATGACATACTAGTATTTAGCCATTAATCACGATACAAATGCAGTTGGCGTTCTAATTGCCTCTGCGTATTTTTCTGTCTGTTTTTTTACTTGTCTCTTTATATTTTTCAGTGAACTTGCGATAATGAAACTTAGTAAAAGTTTAATGTGTAGGGGACGATTAGAATTTCCATTCTCGGTAAAGTATATGCACGACCTAAAAAAAATCATATACCATGGTTTTTCTGATCAGTGTCTATTTCATCAGTGGTCTCGACTTCATATTTTCAATCTAGCAATTCTTCCAAATGTCATATATCAATATTCTTGATTTAACCCTTTCGACACCGAATATAGTTACGTCTATAACGTCATGGATGCCATACTATGACGTCAACTGAAACGTAAAATAATTTGCTTCAGAAAAAAGCGTCAAATTGATAATGAAAAGCAAGGTAATAGGATGTTCATAGTTTTCAAGGAAAATGCGCATAATATAGTCATATTCATTCCAATAATTTTTAATCGCCATAAAGTAAATTTAGCAAATATTTATCCTGTAGCTAGAATACACAAGGAAATTCTTTAAATATAAAAAAAGAGACATTTTTAATCTTTTTCAAGTAATGTTTCTACTAAATGTATGACTGCCGTCACGAGAAAAGGGGCCCTTAAATAGCCTAGTCCTTTTTGAATGCATATATATATATATATATATATATATATATATATATATATATATATATATATATATATAACTTTTAAAAATATCTGCTTTTTCAGTATTTTATAAGCATTTTAGAAAGGCACTTCAAAACAACGTTGACGTTACTCACAGTAAACGTACTGATGTCGCGTTCAGCAATTTCAGTTTCTAAACATTCTTAAAATCATTTGATAATCGTTTTGACACATAAAAACTTGGGAAAATATTTGTTTTCTTTTTCTAAGCTACTAGTATGTAATTATTCCTAACTAAGAAAAGACGCCTTACATGCAGTTCATACTTCTAGAGGCAGATCCATTAATTACGGAGGAGGGGGATCTAGACGTTTAGGATCTGGGAACGGTTTATATTCAGTAAAATTATTACAATTTCCCACAAAGTATTCTTTTTATATTTGATAATCTAGCTGAATTAAAAATGGATATAAAGCACTTGAAACATTACCACCACCCACCCACCCCCCACCCCCAAAAAAAAATCGCAGATACCCCATAGAGAAAAAAAGAAATCCAATCCAAACAAGGAGACAGCGCGTAAAGCGGGTCATCCCCTCGCAAAAAAAACAAAAAACAAAAAACAAACAAATCGATCTCGATATAAAAAAAAAACCCTTCAGTTAAAAGTACGCATTCACTCCACAACTCACCCACCCACAACCACAAGCGCGTTACTTTTCCCCCTCTAACTTTGAAAGAAAGAAAAGTACTCCAAGTATTTTCTGTATCACCGATGAATTCTAACGGGAAATTGATTCAGATGCATGATGTGTAAAATACGGTAGTTGCTTGTTGTGTGTGTGTGTGTGTGTGTGTGTGTGTGTGTGAGGGTGTGTGTGAGGGTGTGTTTGTAAACCCTGTCAATTGGACACGTGCTTTAGACGGCACACGTTTAAATGAACACGGAAAAATCCAAATGAACACGAAATGGTGGTGTTCAGTTGGATTTTATCATAAATCAACTGGAAAATGTCCTAGGATGCATCCCATTTCAAAAAAATGAAGTGTTAATTTGACCGGATGCATGAGATCTGTGTAATGAGTGTGTATAAGATGACCACGGATCCATCATTTTTTCTTCTCGGCGAGACTTACACACATTGCGAGTGCGCATGCTCGTTACATCAAATGACGTCGTAAATGACATCATAATACAGTACCCGTTTCACACTTAGTCATGTACATGAGGACGAAGTAAACTTTGTAAAAGGTAAGTAAAAAATCTGTAAATAAATAAATGAAAAATTTTATGTATTAAATATGGCCTATGAATTAATGAGTAAAGATATGTGTCCATTATGACATTACGGCATTATTGTCTACTCAATATTTTTCCTACGGTATGTATACATGTATATGCTGTATAGTTACAATGTGCATCGTTGCATGATTGCAGTATAAATGGTTTTAACCAATATACTAAAAGTTATTATTATTAATGTTAGTAAAAACATAAAGAAATTTTTTTCTATATCTACATGTATGTCTCTGGGAAAATAAACACGTTCCGTATTGGCATTTGTTGTACTCGCGGAGAGAAACTATTTCTGCATCTAATATTTCAATTTTATTGAATCAACGTTGATCTTTTGCAATGTGTAGCAAAATATATTGTCAAAAATTTTAAATGTTTTCTTGCGTTTCGCATCTTGTTTATGTGTCATGTCAAGTTCGAAGGTTTCGTATTAAAAACGAAAGTAGAGTCGGTCACGCCATGTGTTATGGGCAGGGGAAACGTTCAGTCTGCCTGGGTTATATATAGGTACGTGGGCTACTAAAATCATTGTTAATATTGTGTACACATTAAGCTGTCAACTAAAAAAACACATGTACTTCTGAGGCGTGAATATTAGAAATAATTTCTGCACATTTAAATTATGAAAGGGGAGGGGGGGGGGGGGCAGCTGTTTACTTCTCCCAGGGACATAATGATATAATTGTTAAGCATGTATAGGTCCCTGCTTCAACGTGATCTTCTAGCCCTGACAAACTGAAGATATAGTGCAGCTTATAAGTTGATATTTATGTCAAAGACATGCTGTGCATTTAGACAGTGACATGCCCTAATTTTAATGTACAAAGATTTCAAAGTATGAGAATTTAAAGATTGATACTTGTCATTTTATTGACATGCACTCATTATTGCATTGGGACAATTTTGAGAGAATATGTAAATATAGCTGTGACAGGGACCTATATACTAGTATATAGGTTCCTGACTGTGATGATTCATGAAAATGATGTGACTTCTACTAAGTTACAGTCATTAAAGAATATTTTCCTATTTATTTATCATCCTGGAATTCATGTTTTAAAACTGATGTTATTATTATAATACATTTCAGGTAGATTCATTGATTTCGGATCAGAAAATTATCAATGTTCATGGATTCCCAGAACACAGCAGGGAGAAGTTTATGGTATGAATGCAATTATATAATATTCATTCATTTAATAGTATGATTAATTTAAGCTACATGTCAGGAAAAAAACAAACACTACCTGAAGTTCTAATGATCTGATTTCATGTTCATGATAATGTGTTTGTGTATCAGCATGATCTGTATACCTTTTCCTGCATTGTTTCATACTACAGTCATGAATCAGTGTTTTACATGTAATATTTATTTACCTTAATGACAGTCTGTTGGCCCAAGACCGGCAAATATTTGGGAGGATCAATAAATTTAAAATTAAGTCTGTATGTTATCAGTTAATTGTGCCAGTATAAAAAAATTAAAGGTTCAGTTTAAAGGACAAAGATGGAACTTCACCAGAGATACATGTAGTCCAGATAAAGAGTAAAATAAAATTATTTAAATGGGATATTAAAAAAAAAGATGTTTGCAACTGACAGTCATACCAATAATTTTCATTATTTAGCTATTTTCCATAATAAACAGGACAGATAATTAATACTACACCATTGGCCATTGTTGTCATTGGGGTATACCATGTAATGTATTAATATATTAAACAAATAAGAACTACTATAAATTCTCTTTTATTGTGTGCACACTTTTATTTTCAGCAAAAAAAAAAAACAAAAACAAAAAAAACAAAACAAAACAAAAAAAAAAAAAACAAAAAAACAAAGAAGGAGGGATACACACTTATACATGTATTTATTGGGGTATAATGCAACCACTGAAATTCAAAATGAAGAGATTTACTTCCATTCAGGGATTTAAAAAAAAAAAAATGAAAATTAAGATTTTCCAAATGCAGAGAATACAAGTATGTTATATGGAATTATGATTGAACATTTACAAATATTCAAAATCCTTCAAAAGTTTTCTGTCATCAAGGGTGTACATCATAGAGACATAAATAACAGAGATTTGCAGCTGTTTGAAATCTTGCAGTTTTTTTTAACTCACTCCCACTCTAACATGAGGCACTGGAAAATGCAGGGAAAAGTCATTTTTGTTTTTTTTTTTTTTTGAATATGGGATTAATTATGCATAAATTAGTGAAGCTAACATTGGCATTATGTAAAACTGGATCTATTAGCAATTACCGTTAGAATAAAAAAATCAAAAATTTCAACAGGTTTTATGATTTTTCCCCTCAAAGTAATAAAAAATGTAATCACACTAGATGACTCTGCTCACTTATTTACATTATCAATAGAAAGGCCAGAGAAGCTACATTTTATATATATACATGCATATATATATATACAATACATGTATATGCTTTTAAAGCAGAAACATTCCTTTATTTCGACAGTTGTTCATTGTTAACCGTAATTGTTAACATTATCTATTCAACGAAATTAAATCCCACATGAAATTTTACATTTCAGTATAATGAGTAGGGTTACATTCGTAACAACGAAATTTAATGCCCACAAAACCTTCTCAGATAACAAATAACAAAATTTTATCCCCACGAAAATTTGTGCTTCTACAGTATATAATCAACACCTTAATGCGAGTAAAACTTACAGCAGATGCATTTAGTATTTTTAAGTGCAGTGACTGGAAAAGCACAGTAATTACTCAGACCAAAGTCAACTTAAATCATTATTTAGTGTTAAGGAACAAGTTGTTTGTAAGTGTATTAAAAATACTAAACAAGACAATAAAAGACAAGACAATAACAACAAAAAATATAAGGGGCCTCATAATCTTTTAGAGGGAATCATTATTAACTAGATGCTGTCATGAGACAGTAATACCCGCACTAAGGTGTTTGCCTCTAAATGCACACTCCTTCATATTGGGCTTACCAAGGAAAAAGTCCAAATAATTCTATAATTTACAAAGTACATGTATTCGTCAAATCGAGCATAAAATGCTCAGGTGACCATGTGACCCATGAACCTCTTATACGCATTTCATATACTTAATTCATTACCAGTCTGAAATATCAGAATTTAATTAATGTTGTAAATTAGGTTTTAATAAAAAGGGGGGGGATATAAATTTTTGGCCCATAATTGGAACTTTTTAAATTAAATTTATCTTCTCAACAACAAATAATATTATTTTAGTACAAAGCGTTTTTGATGAATTTATCAAAATGTGCAAACTTTTTTTAGTATTTGATTAGGCAAAAACCTCCTTGAAAAGCCATACCCAATCAATTTATATGTGTCCCCTCCCCCCCCCCCCCCCCAAATACACACACACACAATTTGCCTGTTTTTGGAAATAGGCCTAGATGGCAAAGTTATGTTAAAACATCGTTTGTTATGATAATTTAAAATTTGTTCTTGTACTGTACATGTATGTGAACACCTTTTTGAAAATTTCTACATCACATTGGGCTTGCGTCACCCTACCAGTACTAGTACTAGTTTTACCATTATCATTTTTAGATTGCACATGCCATGTGACATGGTGCAGTGTTACATGTATATCAGTGGAAATTAATTCATTTTGTGTTTTAATTGGATTATATTTCATGAAGTTGACAGGACCTATGACAGTCGGTAAGTACAAGTTTAAGTATAGATTGGGGTAAAATAAACCAAAATGCAAATGGTTAGGTTAAAGTTTAAAAAGGATCAAAGATCATCGGCAATCTCCTATGCAGAGTTGTCGTTCGTTTCTCTCTCAGACACTGAATGTATGAGCCGATCGTAGAGAGTGGATCATCGATGCCACAATAGACGAATTTCACATTCTGAAGAGTTATCTCCCGTTGTCGACATTACATTCAGTTACAGGCATAGATCCGGGAATTTTTTTCCGGGGGGGGAGGGGGGTCCACACCTCGGTCCAAAAAAATTCCAGCCCAGAATTTCCTGAGGAGCAAAATAAAAAAAAAACAGACAAACAAACAAAATAAAAACAATGATGGTGGGGTCCATGTTTTTAAAGGGGGAGGGCATCCAAAGTCATTTTTTATTTGCTTCTGTAAATCAGTATATAGTCCTATTTAAATAACTCTGCAAATTCCAGGGGGGGGGGGGGGGGTTCCAATCTCCCTAGCCGCTCCCTGTCCCTGAAATGACAAATGATCATGCGACTCCTAAATAGTAGAAAATTTTTCCATTTGACTAGACATAATTTTGTTTCTTGTGTTATTATGTTATGTACATCTAATGGTTTAAGGTTATGAACCCTTGAGGTCATCCCCACTCTCTTGTTCATAATATGACTACATCAAATTAAATAGAAGTGCATCAATGATAAGATTACTTGACATTTCATTCATGAATTTGGGTCAACCTAGAATTAGGAATGAAAATCATTCAAAGAGATGGACCATTAAACTATTTGTATGTATTCACATTTTTTTTATGTCAAACCAAAGTATTAGACTAGTTTGCATACATGAACAAACTGGGGTCTGGGAAGGGGAAGGGGCAAGGGGAAGGAGTTATCTCTTTACGTCTTAATTAATTGTTGAAAATTCCTAAAATGAATGTTAACCTTAAATCCGACTTGTACGTCTTCATTATTTTTAAGTGGTGGTGTCTCCGTATGAGTGAAAAATTCCCAAGAGGGACATTTAACAACAAACAAACATTAATGACTTAAAAAACACAATATACATGTACATGTTTATTAGTCAATGGATATACTTCTGATCATATCTCTAGTTCTCCCTTGAATCAGAAATGATGATATAAATATTTTAAGAATGATTAAGAGTTGAAAAGGTTGTGCATTTTAAAATTCACTAAGCTCTGTGGTTGAATTAGCTATACCAGTTTTATAAGCTTATTTTGCTACTCAA